TTCAAGAGAAGGAGAAAGACAAAGAGCCATCATATGTCGAGATTGGTATTCAAAATGGGACAGTGGCAATACAGTGAAAGAAAAGCTGGTGTTAGTCTTAGGGGCAAGTGGAGACCGGGCCCTAGGAACTGGGTTTAAACCATGAGGGGAAGCTTGCCAGACAATCCCCTGGGAGCAGTGGGGCATTGTCTGTTTAGCCGAGAAGAAAGTAAAAATAAAACTAAACAAAGTGATAATAATTCACAGAGGAAAGGAAGAACATTTTCTTGGAGGGGGATATAGAGTGCTCTATTGTGATTAAGATATAAACAATATGTATATGATAAAGTTGTAAAGGTAAGAGAAGGCTCTCAAATGTCAGGTTAAGAAGTTTGACATCATGAAGAATTAAGGAGCCCTTGGGATTTTTTAGGCAACATATTTACTTGGCCAACTACCTGTTATAATACACACCTTAATGGTAACATGGAAGCCCGAGAGAGTAGGAATACTAAATGTGAGACCATAAAACAGAAAATGGTGGTCTTGAAAAATAAAAGTGCAAGGTTCTTTAACCAAGATCTATCTTGAGATGCTAAACTGAATATTATTTTGGCTTTTCAATTCTTGGTTTACAGCAGGACATAAATAGCAAAACATCTTTCTACAAACTACTTGACTATCATTTTCTGATTATTAGGAAATCTTTGAACGTGGGCCCAACATCTCCCTAAGTGATCAGTTTCTCTATAACTGATTGGGATCCTTCCTGAGCCAGCTGTGTGTACCTAGATATATACAGAGTCATCATTGATCAACTTAAAGCCTAATCAAATTCAGTGATAAACATGTCAGATGTGGCATCTGGAGTGTGGGGTCCCAAGGATCAGTCCTGAGAGAGGGGCTGATCTCTGGGTCATGGCTTATGGGACTCAGGTCAGAGATATAAGAAGCTGTCTAGGGACGATGTTACCAAGATGGTATGAGTTGTCTCTTTGAAGGGGCAAGCATTTTCAATGTGCTCCTGAGAGACCAAGGAATTCTGTTGGTCAAATATGGCTATGGGGTGGGGTCAGGATGAAAGGGGACAAGGCAGTAACAGTTASAGAGGGGTTCTCTCATCCCTTACTCCCAATAAAGCAACTCCAAGTCTATCTGTTTCTTTGCTAGATCCCATTTGTAAAGTCTTCTGATTTAAAACATATTTGAAAAGCTGGATTCATAATATAAGGTGAAGCTTGAGGTATGGAATCCTAAATACTAACTAGAGGCACAACACTCATGACAGTTSGTGGCATCCAAACCTAATGCATTTCCTGAGACTTCACATTCTCAGACACAGGGAGAAGGAGGCTAAACCTTTGTAGGTTCTGCTCAGCTCTAGAGAATTGAGAATGGAAAATTTCTGAGTTCCTTTGGCATGCCTCCCTTGGGATTTACCAGATAGATGAACACAGAACTCTAGAACAGTAAGCACCTAGGTGATAAGGTACCTCAGAACAATTGGTCTCTGGACTTACTGAACATAAGTGCAACCCAGAGTTGTATTGTTCCCTACTCCCTTCTATGGAGTGCTTAACATGGGCCAAGCCCTGGGAATGCAAGGTAGATAAGACACATCCTGAGCTCCAATGCGTTTGCAGATAAAGGTGAAGAATCTGTAAGAAGTAGATAACATACAGTACATATTAGAACAAAGGTGATCACAGGGCCTACTGGAGCAAGATCAGCCAGTAGAAGCCAGGAAGTGCTTCCTGGGGCAGACAACCTTGTGCTGGAGTCTGAAGGTGACTCGGAGAAAATGTAACCAGAAAGATCGTCATGGAAACCATTCTGGACAAAGAGGACCACTTGGGGCTGTGGTGGTCTAGAGGAAACCTGGGATCTTTTGAAACAGCTAGATTTAGTTTCTAAATCTGACTCTGTCACTGACCAAGCACATTGAAAAGTTAAGTCACAGCACCTCTGTGTTTTTTTTTTTTTTTTTTTGGTTGTTGTTTGTTTGTTTAACTTTAAAATGAAGAAAATAAAAACAAACAACCTTCCAAATGAAAGTGGAATGTTGAACAGGAAAGCCAACTGGGATGAAATTTGTGTACTAAGCCAGGGAGTGTAGCTCCATCCAGAAAGTTCAGACAAATTTTAACAGAATGTRATTATCTTCCCTTTGAAGAAGATTACTTATCATTATGTTTAAGTCATTTAAAAAAAAAAACATATAGATTTTCTATTCTTGTTTTTTTTTTTTTTTAAGTGGCATTGGTTATATCTATGTTTAGTTTTAAATAAATGATATGGATTTTGCCTGAAAACATTTTAAAAAGAAGAAAAATCAGCTAGATATAACTTGAGTGTACCAACATTAATAGAACCATTTAAAATTGTTATGAGGTAACTTACTGTTGACAAAAGTCCATTCCATTATAAACATATGTATTCCAAGAGCATTTTTGGAAAAAAGGACCCAACTGGAGCTCAAATCAGATTAATTTTTAATTTCCAGGTAGTGAACATCTTATCTCTGTTCATATGCACATTATAAAATAACAGGTGACTTTTATATTGTAGTGGTGTTAATGTATATTAAGAAAATTTTTAAAAAAGATTGAGATCAAATAAGAGATAACATTGATAACAATGTGTTAACAAAATTCTAATGCACTCCTGGTTAGGACAGTTAATTTACTTTTGTGTTTATTAGGTTTATAGACAGCTCATTCCTTCTGTCCACTGTCTATGGGACTATCAATTGCAGTGTTTACCATTGGTGCAAGTCTGTGTAAGTGCATAGGGCTGGGAAACACTAGGGAGAAGATGGAAGTAGAAAATGAAGCAAATAAGGAGGCCGAGGAGGGCCCAAGGACAGGGGTATTAGTTTTGGGATTGAGGATTCTTCAGAGACAAGGTGTCTTGGAAATGCTGGGCAGGAGGCTAAGTGACCTCCTAAATCTCCAGAGGGCAGAATCTTAGCTTCCTGACCAAGCAGCTAAAGAAGATGCTGCAGAAAGTGATTAATTCATTCCTCACCCCAATCCTGGGCCCTTCTCGTCTCACCCTCTTTCCGAACATAGGACTTATTTAGAAAAGTTATGGATTGAATTTTCTTCTATTAGGATTCTGAAAAAAATGTGTTAGTGAGTGGTTTCAGAATATTGTGTTGGGGTACTTTGAGAGGCATGGATTTCATCAGAATTTCTAAGAAAATAAGAAATATTGGATGGTAGAAGAATTAGTTGAAGTATTTTCACCTCAAATTAGGATACTGGAGATGCTTCAGAACACTGTAAGGGAGACCGTCTCTGTTGAGATTACTGGTACCTAAAAGGAATGATTGTGAAGTTCATGTCAGTAAGGATATATAAAATGAAAGTAATTTCTAAAGTGGAAAAATATGTAAATAATACCTGTGCAAACATAAATTACCCTAACAGTAGGATAGAAAGGGAGTCCAAATAGCCTGAAGAATTCRGTATTTATCACCATGCCTAGCACATAATTATCCCACACTGATTCACTTTATTGGGTCAAATTAAATATTAAAACACCCAGATTCTTAGAATTAGAAGAAGCCAGAAAAAACAGAGTTAGCTATATAAAGCTTTACCTGTGACTGACTGTCTTGGGTGATGGTGGTATAGCCCTAAATCATTTTGTTCCATTTAGTTTTAGATTACTTTAAAATTTCATTTCACATTTATGCACTCTGAAATTCCAGAAGGAGAATTTAAAAAAATTATTTAGAAGAGAGAGGGGGGGGGGGGAAAGGAAAAAGAAAATTCCACTGCTTGTGTAAGCTCTAATATAAGTCATGGACATATTGTTTACTTATGAGCTATTGTTGTCTGGTGGTAGTTTAGGAAACATGTGAGAAAGTCAAACCATATTTCTGAAGCATGACAGACTAAACGGATCAGGAAGAATCACCGTAATGCTTCTTGGACCAAACTTGAGTAAATGTACTWTTCTGCCCAATGGCCACAGCTTATAACACTGTTCCTTGATTGCAAGGTTTCCTTKCCCTATGTATGTTTAGAAAAAGAGCTTTTGGCATCTTTGTGTAAGGTCTCCAATGACACCAGAGCCTAAGACCCTCAGAGTGRAAAACAGAAAATTCCACTTAGGCTACTTGGGCTCAACCACTTTAACCAATCATGTTTGGAGAGAGGGTAAAATAAAGATCATTTATGATAAAGTAGTCATTCAACAAATGTTTGTTATTCCCAACATTGGTTTTTCTCATATAGAATGATTTTCAGATTTTTAAAAATATSGTCCATAGTCATTATTTTGCATTTTGATATATTATTTCCTATCCCTCCCTCCCTCCCTCCCTCTCTCTCTCTTTTCTCCTTCCTTCCCTTGCGAAACTAATTCCCTTCTTGTCCTTAATAAGTCTCTTGGGGCTCTCATATTTCTTTTTCAATTCTGTTCCATTTTGTAAGAAATATTGATTGAGAAGCATTGAATTGATTTCCTGACCTCCAGGGGATAATGAACAGTTATTTGAAAAACACTATTCTAGTGAAATTTGAATGTCCTCATGGGCCACAAAGGGTTAAAGTTAGTCACTGTACCCTAACCATACCACAGTACAATTATCGGAGGCATTATATATCAACAGATGAGAAACCTAAGGACTTCTCCTTTCTTAATCGAAAAGGATGAAGGCCACTGGGAAGAAAAGAGATACAGGAAGCTGTAAGAAATTAACAGAGTAAAAAGAGGTCTTTACTGTCTCTTACTAGAATTTCTTACAATCCAATCACCAATCAAGCTCAAGATGGGTTTGGTTTTCAAACTGGCTTTTTAATTACTAATAACACACCATACACACATGCTTTAAATTTGCTATTTGAACCATGATGAATACATGTAATATATTTTAAAAGTTCAAATTGTGGAAAGATTGAGACATGAGTCCCTAGAAAATTGAAATGACCAGTTAAAAGACAAACTGATCATGGCTCTGCATTTTGTGATTACTATTCTTAATTCTAATTTATATATTTTTTTCTTTCAAGGAAGTTTACAGGTTCGCTATCAGCTAGGCAAGGAAGAAACGCATGTATTCACCATCGATGTAGAGAACTTTGCCAATAGAAAGATGCACCACCTGAAGATTAACCGAGAGGGGAGAGAGCTTGCCATTCAGGTATTTGCTTCCATTCTTTTTATTCTTCCAAGGCACCGTGGCTCCTCAATCAAGCTATTCTGAGCTTCTGACCTAAGCCAAGTGCAGAGCCAGGTGCTGGGGATAGCAAAATGCAGCACACTTGGCCTCAGCCTTGGACCAACTCTCACAGTGGCTCTCAGAGAATGTGCTCTCACTTCCTGCTACCATCAGCACGTGATCTGGGATGACATTAGCAATGTGAAATCTTGAGCCTCACACGTAGATCTACTTACTSGGAAACTATTCCAGAGGGGTAAGCAGCAGGTAACTCTAACATCTGCTTCAATTTAATAACCTCAAATAGATTATAGTGAGGAACACAGGTCAAGAGAACTCATAAAATGTGGCAAGAGCTATGGGAGAAGTGAGCACAGGTGACATAGGAGCACCGAGGAGGGCTCAGGTCACAACAGGCATCCGCACTTACCTCCTGTTTAATCATCTGTTTTGCTGCTGTGACTGACAGATCTGACCAGAACRACTGTAGAAGAGGAAAGGTTTATTTGGGAGCTCATGGTAATTTCAGAGGTCCTAGTCCATAAGTGGCAGGCTCTATGACTCAGAGCTAAAGGTGAGGCAGAACATCACAGTGAAAGGATGTGGCAAAGGGACGCACGCAGCTCACATGATGATCAGGAAGCAGAGAGAAAACTCTACTCTCCATATACAAAATATGTACCCCTTAGCCATGCTACCATTGAACCACTTCCTCCAGCCACACCCCACCTCCTTCAGTCACCACCCAGTTAATCCCATCAGGGATCAATTCACTGATCACATTAAGGCCACAAACTAGTCACTTCTCCTCCAAAGCTTCTTGCACTGTCTCACACATGAGCTTTTAAGGGACACCACATCCAAACCATAACAGCTCCTAGTGGAAGTTAGGAGAAAAACAAGCCTTGAAAGTTGAATAGCAATTGACTAGTTTGAGAAGGAAGAGAGGAGGGCTCAGAAAGGGGGTTCACATGAGCACTAGTAGAGCTATCTGAAAGAGCATAGTGTGTCTTTATATGTAGGGCAGACATTAGGTGAGGGCAGGTCTCAGTAGAGAAGAGGCAGAGTCTAGACTATCCCCTTTTCTAATAATAACCTCAAAGGAGCCCTAAAATCTATCTAACAATCACTCCATATTGTTTTAATCTATCCATTCTCCTGTTTTTCTATCTGGCCATTTTAAAATCTTTCTCCTTATAACAATAACAATTGCAATTTCATCTCCTCTACTTTACTTTTGTGAACAATATAGCAKTCAGGAGAGAATATCCATACACTTTCAGTAGCATATTATGCACCTACTTGCACCTGACTTTTGCTCTCTCCTTCCTGTTGCTGAATTTGAATGGTTCATGATTSTATTGAAGGTTTGACCTGCTATCAGAGGGACAGATCTCATAGCCTGCTCACAAAACTCACTTTAGCATTCTGTTCTCTTTCTATACCTTTTTACTATTTTTTCAGCTCTGTTAGATGGCTCCCCAAAGCATAGCACAGGCAATTATCACATGCATTAACAACCAAAACAAAATAAACCATCAAACAAAAATCTTTCTGGGTCAATGGAAGAAATATCTCATACCTGATTTCATTGACTGTCCCATTTTTTTTTCTCTTATTTTATTGCCCATTTTTTTTWAGAAATGTTGCTTATATACTTAGCTTTCAAATTACCCATTCCTTTTCCTTAAACCTGCACAAATGAGATTTCTTCCCTGTGCTGCACCAAAATTGTACTTCTCAAATCACCAATGGCCTTATCCTGCAGAACCCAGTGAGCATACATTTTTACTCTTCCTCTTAGTACCATTAACGCAATGATTTCTCTCCACCCTTGGGACTTAACTGAGCTCTCAATTGCTTGGAGGATACCCCTCTTGCCTGTTCTGCCTCTGTTGCTCATTCTGGTTTCTCATTGGTTTTCCCCCATCTGTTCAAACTCTATCCGCTAGAGCACAACAGGACTTATTTTCAGATTCATTCTGTTTTGTCGTTACACTTACTCCTCGGCTCATCTCATTCAATTTCCCGTTTTAAAAAATGTCATGTCTATGCTGATGAATTAATCCCAACTGCATACCTAGCTCCATTTCTGGCAGATTGAAACCTGTCTCCTTTACTTCAACCTTAAGCTCTCTACTACCCTAGCCAGCTTTAACTATTTTCTCTTATCACCTAATGCTACCCAACATACACAATGGAATTTACTTATTTGTAGAACTTTCTCTCTGGTCTCTTTTCCTATAAAAATGTAAGCTTCATAACAACAGGGATTTTTATATGCTTTCATGATCAAAAAACCCCAACATTACCAAGCAGTGCTTGACATATGAAAGTTCTAAATAAATATTTGTGAAATACATGGATGAATTTTGCAGGACTGAAGAAAGGTCCCATGTGAAGGAGATTGAATTGACCTTATCATGAAGGGAAGGGAAACCACTGGATTTTATGAATGGGAATAGCATGGCCAAATTTCCACTTTCATGGCTTCCCTGTGATCATTGGATAGAAATATGGACATATTTGGGAGTGTGAACACATAAATCAGAGACCAGTCAGGAAGAGATAATGGGAACCATGGAGAGTAAAATCTGAGAAAGTTCAWAGAAGTAGTATCGATAGCATTGGGTGAGCTATTGGCTGTTGAATATAGGAAAAGAATGACTATTAATTATATGAAGTAAATAGAAGTTTAAGAATAATAGCCCCAAATGGTGCAGCCAATATGGAAAACAGTTTGGAGATTCCTTGGAAAACTGGGAAAGAAACCACCTTTTGACTTAGCTATTCCAGTCCTTGGCAGTGTATACCCAAAGGACTTAAAAACATCATACTACAGGGACACAGCCATATCAATGTTTATTGAAGCACAATTCACAATAGCTAAACTGTGGAACTAACCTAGATGCCCTTCAGTAGATGAATGGATARAGAAAATGTGGCATATATACACAATGAAATATTACTCAGCAATAAAAGGGAATAAAATCATGGCATTTGTAGGTAAATGGATGGAGWTGGAGAATATAATGCTAAGTGAAGCTATCCAATCCCCCCAAATCAAATGCCGAATGTTTTCTCTGATATAAAGAGGCTGATTCATAGTGSGGTTGGGAGGAGGAGCAAGGGAGGATTAGATAAACTCTAGATAGGGGTGGGAGGGGAAGAGAGGGGACATTTAGATAGGAAAGATGGTGGAATGAGATGGACATCATTACCCTAAGTACATGTATGAAGACACGAATGGTGTCAGTATACTTTGTATATGACCAGAGATATACAAAATTGGGTTCTATGTGTGTAATATGAACTGCAATACATTCTGCTGTCATATATAACAAATGAGAGTAAAGAATAAAAAAGAAGACTAATTGCCAAGTATATAGTACAAGTGAATCTAGAGTTATCAGGATTTAATTGGTTTACTTCTAGTAAAGTAGAAGTAGAAATAAGTAGAGGGAAAGTCTCTGAGCAGTTTTGGATTGGGAATAAACTGGTTTAGGAAAGGAATGTTGACTTCTGACTTTTTTTGACTGCGATCCCCATTGAAAAAGTAAGGGGTGAACATAGGTCTACTTTATCCTCCYTTATATCCCCTTTTTCCTTTTCCACAAGTACAGATATGATGATGAGAGATTCATTTCATTCCCTCTTCCATCTAAATAATTTGTACTCATTAAGAAGCACATATTAGATGAAAACACATTATTTTCAAAGTACTGAGGTAGCATAAAGAAGTAGAGGAAAAAAAAACTTTTGCTTTTAAGTAATTTTATTGGCATAGAGCCATAACACACATATGTCCCTGTCACTCATATCTCCCTCACCCATTCTAGATCTCTTCCTGTTCTACCCACTAGAATAAGCCCTTTAGTGAATACGTAGAGAAGCATTATATCCCCTGCCCCACTCCCAATCCTGTGGAGGAGATCTCAGGTACTACTCAAAACCTGCTAGAGAAAAGGGGACAGCTATTACCATAGGCACCCAGCTAGAATGCAGTCTCAAGATWAGATTCCCCCAAAATACCTCACCTTGACTTGCTCTTTGTTCTTTATGACCATAGGAAGGAAAACATGGGACCTGGGCTTGCCACCAAGAACAAGAACTCTTGGCAATGATATTGAGACTTGGAATTGGCTATTGATTTTTGTTTGTTTGTTTGTTTGTTARGTCTGGGCAGTGCTAGGGTTTCATACATGCTAGGCAAACACTTTATTATTGCCTATGTCCCCATCCCTGTCTAAAATATTTTAAGGCTCAGATGCAACTCCTACCCCATGACCTGATGGTGAAGGTGAACTTTGGTGCCATTATTTAAAATGTACTGATAATATTTTACAAATGAGTCAGTTTAACCAAAGGTCTACAGAACACAAAGGAGGGAGCATTGTTTTAAAACCAACTCCTTAATTCATTTCTTTGAGAGATGAAGATCCTGAGGTTAAGAAGCTCAAGTGTGAATTCATGCTCTAACATTTGTGCTCTGTGGTCTTAGATAAGTTACTCATCTTTCTGACCTTGAGTCTACTTATATATCTATGTCTACAACTGTATCTGTCTATCTATATATATATATATATATATATATAAAGATGAATGCAACCAGGCTGAGTCAGTTCTTGTAAAGATTATATGGAAAAAAAAATGAAGCTCAAGGACCACACACACAGCCTGGCATCTACAGCTTGCTCAAAAAAGATTTCTCCATTATCCTCCTTTTCCCATTGATTTAATGACTTGACAAGGTCACTGTGTGTTCTTGGTTGGTTCTGAGATTGGTGGAGCCTCTCTAAGTCACATTGAAAACTTTAAACTCTAGGTTTAAAAGACTATGGCACTTTACCTATTGTAAATACAGAGCAAAATAATACTAAATAATAAAATAGACATAAGGAAGTATGACAAAATGATGCATTTCCCATTAATTCAAAATTTCTTAGTCCATATCATAGATACTGGAGTCTTATAAAGAAATCTTTGTGTAAACCCTCCCCCCCCCTTTTATTTTACTTTTGCCCTTTGCATTTACTTTTTCTTGGATAGGTAATCCAATACCTCAACCAGTATTATGGTTTGAATCTCGAATAACGTCTGCCAAAGCTCATGGTTTTTAAAGCAGGATCCACATTGTATGTTTTAGGCAAAAATGGGGGCACTGATATCACAAGTGAATTGATCCCTTTGCTGGGTTAATGCATTGGTAGTTGAATGGACAACTAGGAGATGATTATATGCAGGTGGGACATGGATGGAGGAAGTAGGTCACTGGAGGAGTGGCTTCAACTGTGTCTCTCWCCCTGGCACTTTCCACTCTCTCCTTCTTGGCTGCCATGAACCAACAGCTTTCCTCTATCTTCCTCCACAATGCTTCTGCCTTGGAACTAGCCAACCATATACTGAACCTATGAAACTGTGAGCCAAAACAAAATTTTTCTCATCCAAGTTATTCTTCTCAGGTATTTTGGTCACAGTAACAGAAAACTGACTAACACACAGTACCAACGTGCAGGTGCCCTTCCTCTATGCCAAGATGGGGACCATCCCCCAAGGCATCCACAGTGCATTAGTAATGTGAAGAATGCTTTGAGTCAGCCCACTTCCTCTCCCACCTTTTACAGACACTCATTTCACTAAAAGCCTCTTTGAGTATCACTTACCCACTTCTCTCCTTCATTCGTCATCTGCTTAAAGTGCTAAGGAGCAGGCAGAAAAACAGTAGGATAGGAATGCCTCCGGTACTTGAACAATTGGCTCTTCCATGTGTGGCATTTGAGCAGAGGGTCATTGTCCCAGGAATTGCTTATAGATACTAGCCCTCTGGGGCCTGGTGAGGAGGTGAAGAGAGACACCAGAGGAATCTCAACTCAGCCTACAGTTCTGAAAATCCTGCCATTACCCATTATGTGGCAGGACATCGTGGTTCACTTTAGCCTTTCTGCTACCTGGGCAGCAAATTATCCTGTGTCCTGCTGGAAAGAGTAAAAAGAGTAAAAAGAGGCAGGAAAAAGTGCTACATTAGGATAGGAAGAAAACTCCTCTGGGCCAAGAGCTGAAGCCAAACCCATGAGCATTAAACAGATGAAGGATGGGGACCAAGAGTACTAAATACCTTGTGTTGTAGCTAAAGGTGTGGGGGGGCACTAGAGATACTCTTGTTTTATGATAAACTTCATAGCCCACCAGCTAGAAGGGGAAGTAATACAGTATGTTCTGTGTAACAGTGCAAACTTTGCCAATTGCTGTCCTATGACCTACAAAATACATATGGATATATGGGATCTGAGCCCTCAAAGAGCCAATAAGTTAATGTAGGGAGACTGAGAGAGAGCAGAATCATTATACTGCAATATATTAAATGCAAGGTTAGAAATAGAAAAAGTCATGATAAGAATGGAAAAGAAGGCAGCTAATCTTACCAATCCACAAAAATATTCTGGATGAGGTAGACTTACAGGGTTCCTATGGTMTGGCATACAATAGATTTCAATTATTTGTTCAAAGTGTACACTAGAGATTCAGAAATGGAWACAGTGTTCATTTAAAAATCTCTCAAATATTTATTGAGGTATGACAAGTAAACTAGAGATGATATCATATATTGGGCGGCCCTCTTAAAGATGATCAAGTCATTGATCTCTGTGACATCCATCTCTAACATGGAGATAATAATAGCTAATTCATAGTATTCCAGAGAGAAATAATTTGGAAATATGCATTATCATGTCTCATACATACCATTGTTTGATAAATTGCAAATATTTTTACAGAGMAATTTCATTCACAAAATGGTAATAAAGCATATGCTCATGTACCGTAGCTCATAGCCAGTAACTGGCAGAAACTGCCTCAGGACTAAGAAGTTACAGAGAAGGATCACTGTGAGTAGACATGTATACTGCTCCCCGAGCTGTGCAAAGGCAGTCACATAGCCCAGGAGATTCTTACTCTTCTCTTTTTACAGGTGACCTACAAGATAACAAGGAGTCTTTCTATGGGTAGCATTATATGGACATAAGAGTAGAGTCTGGAAGAAACAGGTTGGACTTGACTAGTCCAAAAAAAGTGTGGCAATGGATGGGGAGTGCTGCCTAGGAACCAGGAGGAGGGGAACAAACAGGTGGCCCTGGAATTAGCAACTGAGGCAAGGAAGCATTTCTAAATACCCTAGAAATGCAGTCCTAGCAAACCTCAAAAGTGACTTTTGCTCAGTCCTGCAAAGGAAGGGTGGTCTTCCAATTATGTCCCTGGCATCTGCTCAGTTAGCCTCTCCTCCTGCAGCCAAAATGTTTTGTCAAACTCCAGTTCTTTCCCAGGACACATCTCTCAATTCACACCTGGATGAGACCAGGTCAGAATTAGGGCAGAAAGGAGACCATTGGTGGCCCTGAGGAAAAAGGGGAGAAGTGGAGAGCAAGAGGAAATGACTGCCTGTTCCCATTCAGTGTACAGAAAGTTTCTCAGCAGCTTTCTTTCCTTTTTTACAGCAAAGAATTTGGTGAGAAAACTTCAGAAGGAAGATAAATACCTGTCAAAAGCTCTAAAATTTCTGGGGAGAAGATTCTGTGAAAACCAATATTTCACAAAGAAGAAAGGGATATTTTACATGAATTATGGGAAAACTAGTGAAAACATTCTCATGTCTCCCGAGAGAAGATCCTAGGGGAGTTCAGATGAGTGTGTTTTATGCCCTTTTCCTGAGGACCTTGGCTGATGGACCTTTGTTTTTGTTTTCAAACAGATGGACCAGCAGTTCCGGCTCACTTACAACTTCTCCCCAGCAGTGGAGTTCAGGACGATAAGGTCACTTGTCCTGGGTAAAGTCACAGGTCTGTTGTTCTACTCTGCACCTTTGCAATGTGATTTGTCAAAATAAACTAACAAATAAATAATATTTATTTGGAATTTTAGCAATTCATATCTGGGGCTTTTGCTCCCTTTATATCAAAGATCTAGGACTAAAATTTCTGATACAGAAAATTCTATTTTGCATGTATGACAATAGTGGAGAGTGGAATTTATTTCTCCTCTATAGAAACTTGAAAGAGGTAGATTGGTAAAGTAATTGAAATTAAGTTTTTTTTTCCTTTGATTTCCTTGATTTTTACTTAAAGACATGAGCTAAAGAAATTGGACTATTGAAAAGGGATTGGGATCTAATATAATAGTGGATTTTTTCCTACTGCAAGTTTTGTGGATTTTCATTTTCTACATAAGGATATTTAGTACATACATGCAAAGTTGAAATTTTTATATCTTTTTGATGAACTGAGCATTTATCACACTTAAATAGAGAGATTATTACCTCTTTTAACTTTATGTCTTTTGAGATTAAAGTTATTTTGTCTATTAATAACACAGGTATTATAGCTTTTCATTGGTTATTGTTTGCCTGGTCTTTTATTGCCTTTTCCTTTCAACCTTTCCTTTTCTTTAAGTCCTGTATATGAGCTGATGAATAATATTCAGTGGAATTTTGATTTTTTAAATCCATCTGGCCATCTCTGCTTTTTATATTGGAAGTGCTGGTCCTTTCATGTTTTGTGGTTACTAGTATAGCAGGAGCTTTTTCTGCCTCTTTATATTCTATTGGCCAATTTTTCTTGTGATTCTTTTATGCTCTTTGTTACTCTATCAGTCATAATGCAGTGCAGAAAACACTGATAAGTTTAGGCATTTTAAGGGGGAATAAACTTAACACAAGAAACTTGCTTCTTATGAAATTGTGTTGGAATTTAGTGTGGATTTTCTGAGGCCCTTTTGGAATGACTCCTTAGCAGTTCTGATTGGAGTAATAGAGCTATGRGGAGTTGTTTATTACCTACTGTTGTGAGCAAGAGTCCAGAAGCCACAGTGGCTACAGTACAGCATATCAACTTGCAAGAGACAGGCGGTCTTAGAAAAATGGCTACAGAGTGTGCCCCATGCTACCATAACTGCTCAACAGTGAAAKAATTTAAAAGAAGGGAAATGATTCCTATTTCACTGGCCTTCTAAACTGAGAAAGAGTATATAATTTCCAGGACAAAATGTGGATCCAGAAACTTAAGTGTATTAAGTCTAGAAAACATTGGTTTTAATTTCACAAGTGACAGCTAAATGAACCAATCAATAGTAAGCAAATTCTGGATATACTGTTGTTGGTTTCTTATCCTATTTTCCCCTCCTAATTATTATATTTTCTGTAGATACTGTTTATATTTTTATTTACTAATACTGTCACTAGCTTTTTATTTCCAATTCCTTCCTGTGTCTCAGAACTTTTTACTATCTACCAGATTTGATTTTCTTTTTTCGGAACTAAATCCATTCAATTATCTCTTTCCTGTGTCAAGGTTCCTTGACTGTCAATTTTATCTGGAAAAGAAAAAAAAATGTTTCATATCACCTTCATTCTCAGAAGATAATTTTGCTAGACACGCAATTCAACACTGAAGGAGATTTTTTTTCCTCAGATGTTGAGAAAGTGTTCAGAGCTGTGATGGAGACAGTCCTGGCTCACATTAGGCACATAACACACATCTTTCTCCAGCTCTGCAATTAGTGATGTCACAATGGTACATTGTATTGTATTGTATTGTATTGTATTGTATTGTATTGTATTGTCAATACTGGGGGGTGCTCATACTGTGGAAATCACAACACTGCATACCAAGATGCTGCCTGTCTCTTCCCCCTGAACAGCCAGTTTTAATATTCACAAACATACCACTTTACCCTTGTCTTCTGGTTTCAGTTGCTACTGCTGAAATGTCTGTCAATTTGTCCTCTGACCACTCTAGCCACACTAAGCTACTTTCAAGGTCACCTCATTTTCTTTGGTCTTCTATAGTTCTATAATCTGGTTGTTAACGTTTTTAAGCATCATACTTGATCAGTTAGGCTTCCTGAATCTATTATTTAGTTCACATGCACCCATGTAAATAATTCATATGTATTATTAATCTGTATCTATCCATGAGTTTTTAAAAATTCTCAACATACCAAATATTTTCTTTAACATTTTCTCTATTCGATTATTTTAGATCTTTATTGGATAATGCTTTTGACTTTCTAATTCTGTCCTCATATCTCTTATTTTCCTCTCATAACGATTTTTACTCTTTGACACAGTAGGTTGCATTCTGGACAATAAACTGGCTTTATCTTCAAATAATTGATCYGTCATGTGTACCGAATGCCTTCTAACCTACTTGATAAGTCATTTTTCATTAATATGTCTTTAATTTCTTCAAGAAACCTGTTGTTCTTTTGCTAAAATGTGGATCCATTAAGATAATTTCTTGCCCTTGCTCATTTCCTCTGTTTCCAACTTTTCCTTTCTTCAAACATTTCACTAATGGCTGTTTAACTTTTGACTCTGCTAATTTCAGTATCTAAGGTCTTGGGGTCTAAATCTGTTACTTGCTACTTTCTAGCACTCTTCCATGGTAGCTTGCTTTTACTTCCTTTTATCTCTGTGTATGTGTGCATGTGTAGACTTGCACTGGTCCATACTTAGTAGAAATTAACTCGTAGTAATCTGGAGGCTAAAATATTGGGAAGCTTTCATACAGGTCAGGTCAGTTTTTTTTATGATGCCAAGTGCCAACAGGTGCTACCAATTTCAATGCTACCAGTGTCCACTGGTGCTATCAGTTTCTCCTTATTATTATTATTTCTTATTTCCTGAACAGAGGAGGAATATAAATTGGAGTTTCAAATCTCAGTGAAATCAAGCCTCTTGGTAAAATTTCAGCAGATATATTGATAATTTTAATACAATATATCATTTCATTACCCTTTTGATTTGTTGTTTCTGTTTGTTTTTCAATTTCAAGCACACCATATTTAGACAGGATTTTACTTTATCCCATATTACATTAGATGATTTTTTTTTCTGATCCAGTTTTTCTTAAGTTGAATGTCAAAGTCTTGGTTTCAACATCTTCCCTTTTCAAAGGCACAAAGTTTGAAATTCCAAGTCTTTTCCAAAATAGCTCTTTTTTTTCCCTCAGTGGAATGCTAATATTAGTTTTGGTTTACTATCTTGGTTTAACTTTCCTGTCTCTCAAAAAAAAAATCAAAAATTCAAATACACAGGATTTCTCTTTTCTTCTTGAAGCTCAGGAAGTCATTAAAATTATGTGTGTTGGTTTTAATGAAGGAGAATTACGTTTTTGATTGTGCAATCTATTAACATTGTCCTATGCTAAGAATATTTTGGACCATCGAGACCTCACTTCAATCAAATCAGAAGAACCTTGATAGGAGAGATCTAACTTTCTCACCACAAAGCTCAGACCTTTTTCATAGTGCCTGATGGTGTAATGGAAGCTTCAATAATACCTCCCGCCTTTTTTCACTCCATGTATCTTGGTACTATGTGTGGCAAGCCTAGGACCCTTCAACCTATCAAGTTAAATGCACAATGAGAATAATACAGTGAAATTTTAAATCAAGGTATTGCATATTTAACACCTTGGTATTTTTTTTTCTGATACTTTGTGATGATCATCAAGCAGGAAAGAGTTGAGAGAGAACTTAAAAAAAAAAAAGTCATTATTGTTGTAGGGTGGGAGCCCTCTGCCTAGAAATGAATGGACTTCCTTCCCATCCAAACTTCCGTTTAACAGGAAGATTTGGAGTCATGTTTGTGCTCGAMATTTTTGGTCTGTGAAAGTTCTATAGCAGAATGTGAGGCTCATTATTAAGGAGGAATGTTATTTCTGGAACCATTAGAAAACAAAAGAACCAAGACCCATGCACCAGAGAGTAGAATGGATAGGGAGGGAATAGGAAGGAATGGTATAGAACCAGATAAGTAGAATTCATGCCAAATGCAACCTCACTCTGTAATTTTAGAAAATGACTTTGTAGGACATTTTCAACTATAAAGTAAGGATTTACAAGCATTTTTCATTATAGACACTAAGAGAAAAATGTATAGAAAATTTGTCTGTTTTCTTCAGTACCACTAATAGCATTCTACTGTAAAACAGAACGAAATTTGTTTATATTCTTCTCATAAGAGGAAAGAGCAATTCTCTATTCTAGAGTATTCTAGAGGACAGTGACTTAGTATCATTCTGCACCRGCCTTGGTGCTTCAAATATGATATATAAAAAAAGCTTCTTTTTGAGGATTCCTATGATGTATACTTGCCCATGAAAAGAGTAGACGTGATCATCTATGCCAAAACTGTATTGTTGGTTCTCCATAAATGTTGGTAATAATCTATAAGAAGCTGTGAATATTGCTAAGTCTAAGGTCTTTGTGTATGTGTGTGGGGGTGGGTGTTACTGACATTCCTTTTCTTCCAAGGGGAATTACTTTGTTCTGATGAACTCTGTCAGTGAGATTAAGAGAAAGTAACATGAGAGAGAGAGAGAGAGAGAGAGAGAGAGAGAGAGAGAGAGAGAGAGAGAGAGAATATGAATATGAGAATATACTTACAGAAATCATCCAATTGGAAAAGATCTTTTGTTTCTGGAAATTTACTTTTTTTGAAAGTAAAAATTGGGAGTTCCTCAGATTCAAGAAAAATGTAACATCTTTGTTTTTAGGTCTTTAAGGTGTAATTTGTTCCTATCACAGGAACATGGAGAGTCAGATTTTGGAATCCAAAAAACTTGAAGCTTCTAAAAGAATGTGGTTTTTTTTTTTTTTAAGTTCTTTGGTTTTTGTGTGTTGTTCTCTCTCTCTCTCTCTCTCTTTTTTTTTTTTTTTTTTTTGGTGGTGGTGGTGTTGGGGGTAATGCCTGGGGATTGGTCCCATGACCTTAATCATGCCATTGAATTACAACCCCAACCCAGTATCTGTTTATTTTTTTTCCAAACCTGATTTCTTT